CAATGATAGACATACACTCACTCAATGACAGACAAACACACACACACTGACAGGCATATACTCACTCACTGACAAACACACAGACACTTACTGAGAGACATACACACACACTCACTGACAGACATACACTCACTCGCTGACACACACGCAGAAATTCACTGACACATTCACTCACTGACACACACTCACACAGACATACTCACTCGCTGACACACACTCACTGACAGATATACACTTACTCAGTGACAGACAGACACATTCACTGACAGACACACACATTCACTGACAGACACACACATTCACTGACAGACACACACACACTCACTGACAGACACACACACACTCACTGACAGACATACTCACTCACTGAGAGACAGACACACACACACACACACACAAACACTCACTGACAGACATACAGACACTCACTGACACACACACACAGGCAGACACTCAGTGACACACACACACTCACCTCCCTAGGATCCAGTGTGGGGCAGCTCCTCATTCCTCCCGCTCGGCGTTTAGTATGCCGGGGCCGGAATGACGTCATATTCCGGCTCACGGCATCACAGAGGGCGCGTGAGGGAGGAGTGAGAGGCTGCAAGAACAGCCTTCCTCACCGCCTTTTCCTTTCCCCCTCTCCTCCGGACACCGGGATTTGATGGCAGAGCAGGCACTTGTCATCAAGGTAAGAAGGTGCCTGCTCTGCCATACTGTGACAGGGCTCCTGTGGGCACCCCACTTTCAGGTGCCTGGAGGAGCGGCCCGGTGCTGAGGGGAGGCAGCTCTAGAGCCGCTCGCCCAGCGCTGCTGCCCAAGACAGGATGAGCCCACCAGGAAATTTCACGGTGGGCGCCTCCAGCAGGCCAGCGCCCTAGGCAAATGCCTAGTTCGCCTAACGGTGGCGCTGGCCCTGTCTGTGTCTGCTAGTGAGTGAGCTTGTCTGCGTGTGTGTGTGCCTGCTAGTGAATGAGCTTGTCTGCGTGTGTGTGTGCCTGCTAGTGAATGAGCTTGTCTGCGTGCCTGCTAGTGAGTGAGCTTGTCTGCGTGTGTGTGCCTGCTAGTGAATGAGCTTGTCTGTGTGTGTGTGTGTGTCTGCTAGTGAGTGAGCTTTCCTGTGTGTGTCTGCTAGTGAGTGAGTGAGTGTGTGTGTGTGTGTCTGCTAGTGAGTGAGCTTGTGTGTGCCTGCTAGTGAAAGAGCTTGTCTGTGTGTGTGTGTCTGCTAGTGAGAGAGCTTGTGTGTGCACATTCTATTGAGAGAGCTTGTTTGTAGTAAGCTGTAGTATGCTAACATACTATTAATGTAATTATTTATATTTAGCTGTACGGAATTTTAACATCAAAAGCCAAAACTACATTTCTTGGTTAAGAAGGGAGGAGCAGAATGTTAATAGGACCTGTGGTTTCTTTTAGCATACCAGGCTACTTGTACCCCCCTAACATGGCCTCTTCTGGTAGATATTTATGCTTTCTTTAACACTTTATGATCCACGTGGAGGAGAAACATTCAGAACTACCTCCCTACTCAGGCTATCAAATGGTGGAAGAACGGAGTACAGCCTTCTAGAAATCTTTTTCTTTTTTTTTTTTTAAATAAAAAAAAACAAAAAAACTACAAAATGCTGATACATGTAGAATATATCAGTGCAAAAATAATATTAACTTGTCATTCTGGCCTTTCTGCTCACTGACACTGTTATCTTCCCCTGCAAATTAAACTTACTAAATAGGAGAATACCTATTAATTCAATATATTTTCTAGCAAATAATACGGGTTTCTCTAGTGGTTCATATCTGCAGAAAAAGGCTGGCTTATCTTTTTTCCCTGTTAACCTGCTCAAACAAGATACTGTATCATAGCATATTAGGAAGTCACTAGTGTCACAGAGTAACTAACTGGAGTCTACAACATAATGCAGGATAAACTATTAGATGTCACTTGTGAATTTAAAGGGACACTATAGTTACCCAGACCACTTCAGCTCAATGGGGTACTATAGTGTCAGGAAACTAGCTTTGTTTTCCTGGCACTATAGTGATCCTTTAAACTTGTAACTTGAGTGAGATTTTGATGGTATGTTGCCAAATGGATCTATCAAGGCAAGCACAATGATAACAGCACGTACGTGAACTTGTTGTTTAACCCCTTAAGGACCAAACTTCTGGAATAAAAGGGAATCATGACATGTCGTGTGTCATTAAGGGGTTAACAGGTCTTTCATTTGGTGATGCCTTATTATTATTACACAGCGCTTTACAATAAGAGGGGAATTTACCAAATGTGACAATAACAAAATGTAACAGGAACAATAGGTAGTTGAGGACCCTGCTCAAATGAGCTTACAGTCTAGAGGATTTAAGAGGTAACAATATTATATTGTATTATGGTTGTAAGGATTGTGGTATAACTATCTCTAGTTAAAGGGACACTTTAGTCACCCAAACCACTTCAGCTCAATGAAGTGGTCTGGGTGCCAGGTCCCTCAGGTTTTAACCCTTCAGATGTAAACATAGCAGTTTCAGAGAAACTGCTATGTTTACATTACAGGGTTAATCCAGCCTCTAGTGGCTGTCTTCCTCACAGCCCCTAGAGGTGCTTCTGCAATGCTGGATGCGAAAATAGCATCCAGCGTGCAGAATGTACATAGGAAAGCATTGATAAAGGCTTTCCTATGGACTGTTTGAATGCGCGCCGGGCTCTTGCCGCACATGCGCATTCCGCTCCACTTGGGAGCTGACGTTGGCGAGGTAGAAGAGGTCACTAGTGCCAGGGGAGCCCGGCGCTGGATTAAAGGACCACTATAGTGCCAGGCAGGGCCGGACTGGGGATACAAAGCAGCCATGGAAAAAAAATTTGTGCCAGCCCCATAAGTCACTGCGCCATATATTGTCGCGTGTAATATGTAAGGCTATGTCTTGCTAGGACAGATGATTGAGTAATATATATATATATATATATATATATATATATATATATATATATTGCTTTTTCTAATATAAAATAATGGTCCTTTCAGGGTAAAACGTTTAATTATACAGTAAGCATACGCACATGCAGACACAGGCAATTTCACTGACATTTCAGTGACACACACAAGCTCATTGATACACACACACAGCTTAATGTGGTGGTACTGGTGTCTATAGCATGTCCCTACAGGCTTTTCAACGTAAACACTGACTTTTCAGACAAAAGGCAGTGTTTACATTGCTTCAAAGTGACACTGCTAATGACAGTCACTCAGACGGTCACTAGAGGTGCTTCCTGTGTTAGTGCCCTCCCGCCCTCGCGCGCTGCTGAATGAGACTGGCGCCGGAATATGACGTCATATTCCGGCGCCGGTCTCATTCAGCTGCGTGCTGGGGAGCAGAGCCAGCGCAGCTCGCGCAGCTCCCTCAGCGGCCGCCAGGACAAGTCCGCCAGCGGCCGCCAAAAGACCTCCCCAGCGGCCAGGGGAGGGTTGGCAGCCTTGGGCCTGGGGGGCAAAACCAGTCAAGTAGACTGGTGCACCTGCCCAGGATCAGAGCCGGTGCAAGGATTTTTGCCGCCCTAGACAAAATAAAATTTGCTGCCCCCACATGTCACATCACAATGCCCCACCCATATGACCTGCCATATGAACTAACGCCAGTGCTGCGCACAGTGTGTGTTTACATTAAAAAGCCTGCAGGGACCAGCTATAGACACCAGAACCACTTCATTAAGCTATAGTGTCCCTTTAATGTGAGGTAAATTATAGATTAGTGTCACTAATAATATACTAGATTGCCTACTTACAAGCAGATGAGGATGATGATGGCTGCAGTTTGGCTCCACTGGTCTGGTGTAGAACAGGATCTCTGGAGGCTGTTTGCAACTGTGGTCACAAAATTCAATGTTCTGGGAGAATTGGAAGCAGCTCAATTTTTTGGGGGCCCCTTACACAGCTCAAGGTCTGGGCCCCAGGGCCTGACGGTGAGTATGCCCATAAGGCCCACTCATAAGTTCCACCCACCCATGAGCTCGCTCACAGG